GACCCTAGCAATAGAGTGGTGAACAAGACAGGCCTGCAGTGGCTCTCAGAGTTTGTTGTAGCAGGCAGTGGCATTAAAGAAATGATTACACGATTGATGCATTAATCCAAATGATGTTAATGGCCAAGCAGGGAATGCTCAGCGTACTAGAAGAACATATCTGTCATCTCGGGTCCACTGGGAAGCGGACTGTAAGATGGATTTAAAAGTGCAAAAAAAAATTTTTTTTTAGAAGGAGGGGAAGAGATAACACCTGTCAAAGGTAATGGGCAAGGAAGTAGGACAAAGCAGGAAAGTCTTAGAGTGGGATGTAGATTGGCAGTCTTGGCCAAATTAACGAGAAGCTGAAGAGCACAGTCCTTCCTTCAAAACTCTTGTATTGGGCAAAAGTGGCCAGGCACCCAGCATCCCCACTGGAGCATCATTAGCTGGGGGCTGCCAGGAGGAATGTGGCATTGGCTGAAACACAGCAGTAGGTCCCCAACCCACTGAAGGCGGAGCTGTCAGCTAATGCCAGGTTCTTTCTTAACGGGGAATGCGTGCAGTGCGTGATTAGAGGCTACTGTCCACTTCTTGCACCGGTGGACCCACTTCTCTGTGTCCGAGGAACTGCTCCTCCAAGGTTCTCTTCCCGAGTGAGCACTTAGGCCAGATGGACAAAGCACAGCCCCTCTAACTGGCGTTGGTCTCAGGGCCACAACAGGTGCTCATCATCTCCCTCCTCCACGAGCCGTCTTACTGCCCTTTCTCGACACTCAGGTCTGCTGGTCTCGGTGGTTTACCTGGCAGTGTCATCCAAACCCTCCTTCCTGAGGGTGGCTGAGCCCCTGGTAACCATATCCTTGTTTTGCTGCAGCTGTCCATTTTTAGTCCCAACTGGGCATGAGAGTTCCAAGAGCAAGATCACCTGAGTTCCACATGCACTGCCCTCCTATGTATCTGCAGCCTTCCCTTCCCTTGATGATACGGGCAAGCTACCCTTGTCAGGATGGTGATTCCTTCTCTTGCCTTTTGTTCCCCAAATTCATAGGCAGGCAGCATAGCTTATAGCTCAGTGGGACCCTTGCTGTATCCTCCAGCAGGAGTATACCCTTTGGGGGACCAGGGCTTCTGGACATGCAGAGCTCAGAGTCGCAGGGGCAGCAATCACAAAGTCATCAGGTTATTGGGAGTAATAGTAAGTGGAGAAATTCCTGCTTCTACCCCTCGTTTCCCGTTCTTTCAGTGGGGATATAACACCATGTAGAAAACTCATGTGCCCTATACCTACCGCATCCCAAAAGATGGCCACACGTTCTCCAAACTGTGCCTTTAGCCAGTCATTCCGTCATGCTCTCAGGCCAGCAGCTTCTAAATGGTGCACTATGACACAACTCATGGTCATGGGCCCATTCCCACTCTTCCTCTGCTGAGAAGTTGGTCCTTTGGTCACATGCTCTGTTGACTAGATGTGTGTGAATCAGGCATTCTATAAGTCCCTGTATAGTGGTGGTGGCTGAGGCTTTCAGGAAAGGAATAGCTAATACAAACTCAAAATGAGTGTTTGATTTATGAGAATAAACCATATGCCTTCCAGGAAGCTAGGAGCCCAGTTTCATCAATTTGCTACCAGGTAAGGATTGTGCTATATCAAAGTCTCAGAGTTAGTCTCTGCTGTTGGCAGGTTCAACATTCAGAAGAGGCAGTAACTAAATCAGCTTTGGCGATTGGAAGTCAATGCTACTGGGCGTTACATAGCCTCCTTCTCCCAACTATGGTCATTCTGCTCTTGGGCCCATAATGCCAGTAATCAGGTGGCTGGTGACAAAGCCTGGCTTGCATCAACTGGCTGGGCCATTTTTTCTGTGTGTCATTCCATGCCTGGATGCTGCTGGTGGGCATCACCATGTTGCAGACAGGTCACACTTCATACCAAATCCCATATGTCCATCTCCCTGCTCCGTACTTCTTTGTCTCAGAACTTTCAGTCTTTTATTCTCCCAGGGCCCTGACCATTACCACTGACCATGAGTCTATATATCCTCACTCTGGGCCACTTTGTTTTCCAAACAAAGTACATGGCATAATGCACCATTCACAGTTCAACCCATTAGGAAAATATTCCCTAACCACTGTCTTTCAAAGCCAACCCTGACTGTGGCTACAGTGCACATATGATACAGCCACTGTCCCTTGTCACCTTGTAGCCACGAATCATGCCACCATAAAGAAGCGCAGGTGTTTTCTTTCTCCTTCAGCTAGACATAAGGGAACCCCTCCTTCATGTGGCCACAAGTGAGTGAGGAAGGGGGACAGTTCCATTGTGGTAGGTGATTGGGGGTTCAGGCTAGCACCTGATGTGCCCTCTAGCCCGGCTCAGATTGATCTCTGATGTGCTACCCCATCTTAAGGATTGCTGTTGACCTGTTTGACTTACTGGGTGGTAGTTTGGCAGAATTCCGTTCATGGCGGGACGTTCTGAATACTTAGTCCTTGGTGTCTCAAGTCAAAATGCTCCTTCTCCACGTGGGCCCCGTAGAACATCAGGAGCAACTTGCTTTACAAGGACATGTAACCCCTTACTGCAGGTTACCTGCCTGACTCTAGAACCCCAAGCGCCTGTGTGGTGATTTTCTCTCCAGTGTTGCCATGAATTCAATTCTTTTCCTCCAACACCTTAGGGTACATGTGGCCCTAGAATAATATGGGTAGCTGGACAGCATGGCCTAAGCCAAACAGAGTTAGGAGTGCACGAAGTTTACTGGATGGTTAACACCATGAAAGATGAAGAGGGAAGGAAAAGGGTTGGACAGGGAAGCCTTTACCACAGGTCAATTCTGATACTCCTGAAAAGGAGGGAGAAGGTAAAATTAGACAAGAATAGAAAGTTGGTGGGAGGTGGGGAAGGGTGCAAGTGGTAATTGGTTGTGGGAAGAGTCTCTCCAGCCACACAATACTGTGTGTAAGGAGCATCAGCCTTGAGGCATAGAGTGCTTTCTAGCACCAAAGGCCACCACCTTGAGGCCGAAGTGGCCGATATTCAGAGATGTGAGGGTGGCAGGAGATGAGGTTGGTGAAGATGATAAAGGCCTCATCGGACCAAGAGTGGCAGGCCCATGTCACCTAACTCCTCGCCTCTTCGAGGTAACATGAGCTGCTCCTGAGGATCCACCGCAGTTAATTAGTTGAGTGCCTAATGATCTCAAACATATCCTCTCAATCTTTGTTACTAATTGAGATCCAGCTCTATTATTTTTAATCCCTAAAAGTAGTCACATGTGGACTTTCATCAATTAACATTGTTGAATAACTACATATATCTGAGCATTTCTCCTCTGGACTAAACACATGGTCAGTATGTAACACTGTTCTTAAAGCTTTTGAAGGCACTGGTGAGTTAGCTTATGAATTAGGTGTTCAGTAGAAAGCATTTTTAGCGTGTACCTTTAATTCTCACTCCTGATGAGTTAACTTTTCCTTATTATTCTAGGCAGGGTAAGAACAATTCCTATGGATAATTTTGTTTGCTGAATGGGCATTTACCAAGGCAGAGCTGTGTTCTTTCTCTGTAACGTTGCTGTATCAGTAATAGACCATGTGATAGAGGAGAGAAAGTGGACTTTGGAACCAGACAGACTTATGTGGCTTTGAGTTCTCCTTTCAGAAGTTCATCTTTGTATGATTTTAGAACAGTTATTTAATTAGGGGTGCCTGGATGGCTCAGATGGTTGAGCATCAGACTTGGGCTTGGGTCATGATCTCACAGTTCGAGGGTTCGAGTGCCGTGTCAGTCTCTGTGCTGACAACTCAGAGCCTGGAGCCTGCTTCGGATTCTGTGTCTCCCTCTCTCTCTGCCCCGCCCCTGCTTATGCGCTGTCTGTCTCTCTGTCTCTGTCTCTCTCTCTCTCAAAAATAAATAAACATTAAAAAAATTGTTTTTAAAGAACATTTAGTTAATTAAAAAAACAAAAAATTACTTGTTTGTAAAATGGGAATAATAAATGGTAGTTGTAAGGATGGATGATAATGAGTGTAAAGTACCTGGTATCTGGGAGCTGCTGACAGACACACACAGCAGTGTGTTGATGGATGTCATCAGTTCACGTAAGACGATGTGAATTCCAGTAGAGTCGCGCCTCACAATGCCAGCAATATACGAAATCACCTGATGACAATTAACTTTTCTATGAGAAGTTCTGTACTTTTTGTAGAAGCCTATGATATAATATTTGCTTTTTTAGAATATCAGGAGATACGTTATTGAATTCTGTGATGTCATAGGTCGTCTGCATTTTTCAGTGTATGAGGTGACAGTCTCGTGGATGAAAATCATAATTGCTCAGAAATAAAAGACTTAATTATAAATGTGTGTATATTATTACATAATATATGTAGTATAATGTACTACAGTAATATTATTATCTAGTAACTATAAGAACAAGGTGTAATTTTTTAAGTTTATTATTTATTTTGAAAGAGAGAGTGTGTGCGTGAGTGGGGGAGGGACAGAGAGAGAGAGGGAGAGAGAATTCCAAGCAGGCTCTGCACTGTCAGCACAGAGCCCGGTCGGGGGCTCAAACTCACAAACTGTGAGATCATGACCTGAGCCAAAACCAAGAGTCGGATGCTTAACGGACTGAGCCACCCAGATGCTTCAAACAAGGTGTAATTTAAATGTTGTTTTACTTGAATTTTAAGAACAGCATATGTTATTCCTTTTTTATGTTAATATTGATCTCTGTGGCACCTTACTCTATGCTGAAATTACATATTTTACTGGAAAATTTAGTGTAGCAGAAGGTTTGCCACTACCGATTATGGTGAGTCAGTTGATTTTCCTTTGGATTTTGATAGCTTGACGTTGCTCAAGCAGCCAAAGCAAATGGTGAGTATGGTGAAGGATTGACTACATGTTCTAACCTTCCTGAACCTAAACCTCATCAACTGAAATAAGGAACAGGGGGGAAAAAAGTACTACTTTTAATTGTAGCTGTCTTTTTTTTTTTTTTTTCCTCTTTCAGGATTTTGCGTATCATTTTACCGTGTTCGTCTTCTACTTTGGAGCCTTTTTACTGGAGGCAGCAGCCACATCCCTGCATGACCTGCATTGCAATGTGACCATGGCTGTGCAGCCACTCTTGAGTGATAACCAGTATAACATAAACGTAGCAGCCACAGTGAGTGTCGAGGAGTCCCCGTTACCAGCACCCACCCCTGCCCTGCGTTTGCTGTCATGGTCTCCCAGAAGCTCCTCAGGCAGCAGTAGTTTTCTCTAATAATAGCCATTGGCATTAAACATATACTAGCTAAGTATCTATGTAATAACCTGCTGGGCAAAGTACTGCTGTTACCCCTTGTGTTGTAGACAATGATGTTGAAGCACAGAGGCTGACGTTCGTGTAAGATGACAGCCAGTCCGTGGTTGTGGCTGGCATGGTACAACCAAGTCTACTTTGTGAAAAGAATTCCTTGTGCTTTTTACTTCCTGTAACTCCAGACATGGTAATTCATCTTAATTATAATTGTAATTCCTTTGAGTTCAGTGAATATTTATGGAGAGCCTAGCACGAGGTAGGTAATTTGCTGGGTTTTGGGGACAGGGATGAACAAGGTGCAGTTCCTGCCACTGGGGAAAGTCCCCGTGAGTGAGGGGGTGAATACGCCAGCCAGTACGATAGATGACCGATGAAATACATGCCGTGGAGAAATATTTTGATCTTTTTTTTATCTTCCTTAATTCATAATACTTAAGTGAGTTTGTTGTTTTGTGTTGATATGGGGAATTTGAAGACATATTATTTCTGTTTTTATAATCTTGAAAATGCCAGAAATCCAACTTACTCCCTGAAATGTGCCGATATTTAATATGACTATATAGCAAGTTAGTGACCCTCAAGTTTTACTCTTCTATGCAGACAGCACATACAGACATCCCAGGACTCCCCATGTGGTCATTAAAATCTCTCTGGAGCAGCGCTGTCCGGCAGCACTTACTAAAATGGTAGAAATGTTCTGTGTATGCACTATTTGATATAGTGGCCACTAATTAATCCAATTAATCCATTCATTTTAATTAATTTACACTTCAGTTTGAACAGCCACATGTGGCTGTGGCCGTCCTATTGAACAGCACAGGTCTAGAGTCTGGGTTTCAAAGGGGAGAGCTGTGATGATTCTAAGACCTCCTGTCATCCCCCGGGTTCTCAAGCCTCTGTTACAATTTGTCAGAATTCATTGAGCATCTCCAATGATTAGACTGATTATAGATTGCAACAGAAAGGAGCATGGCTCCAGCTTTGACAGGCTTATAGTTTAGATCAGTGTTTTTATACTTTCTTTTATAGGAAGTGAAACTGTCTCACTTAGTGAAACCTTACTGAAAACCCAATGAATATAGAAGGCAAGAGCACAGATGCTCTAGTTGGATTGGGAGAAGACGTCCTTCCTTCTCTTAAGCCACCTCTGTCGGCCTCATCATCTCTGAGGCACTTTCATGAGATCCTTATTACCAAAGACCACAGCTAGAAAGCCACTGGACTTTTAACAATTTTATAAAGTGAAGAAAAGTTCAGGGCCTTGGAGTCGACTTTTTTCCTACCAGGTGTCCTTCCTATTCGTCCTCAATTCTCACAGGATTTTCCTTTACTACTTCCGTCCCCTCCTTTTTAGTGCTGCGGGCTGTCTTCGCACCACCTGCCAGATCCTTGTACTAGCACCAGATTGGTCTGTTTATAGTTGCCTTAAGATCCTACTTTCGTAAGAGTAGCAGGTGCTCAAGGACTTGATGATCCATGTCATTAATTTCTCACTAACGTTCCTTTGTCCCAGGAGCCAGTTTTCAGTGTTGCCATGTTGTGGTTCCATTGTGGCTGACGCTCTTCTGTGACTTTGTCCCTGTTATCCTTCCCTCTCTCTGTGCCTAAGGGAAGCTGCCTTAGTAAACCTCTACATGCTTTCCTTCTACATTACATAGCAGCTCATCCATATGTTCTCATGGAAGTAAACCTTTAGTTTCTCAGTTTTAATCATACCTAAATGTATGATTTGTTCTTTTGTAACACTATATTGAGTCCCTCACTTTATTTTTTATTTCAATATACCTGAGAGAGGAAAATTCATTTTTGTTAACAATAGATATCAACAGTGGTCATTCTCATTCAGTAGACGATGTCTAGATTAGAGATGCATCAGAGAGACAACCAGCAGAAGGCGGCTGGGGAGAATAGCAGAGTGGCAATTAGAGAATGGTCACGTTCTGTAGGTGAATCCGATATTCCCTCTCAGAGCTGGAGTTTTCTGGTAAAGGATTGCTGCACTAAGTCATAATGTTTTATCACATTTAATTGCTTTGTCTTGTTGTTTTCTATGGATCATGAATTCAAAAAGCATGAGGAGAATAGCTACTGTTTGTTCATATGCACCAAATGCACTGATGTACACGTAGCTGTTGCTAAAGAAATCCTTGTCAAATAGTAAGGACAGTAATTCAGAGTTCAGTGCGGGTTTCAGAAGTATCTCCCACGCCAGATGAATCTGTTGATTCATTTCTATGGGTTTTCTTTGTTTACTTCTAAAATCCCTTTCCACTGTCACCGGTAGGATTTTGTATATCCTCCATTTCTCATACTTGCACTTTTCTTGGCCATGAGATCACTGTGTGAATAGACACCTCGCAGCGAATTTTTGAATACGGTATTGAGAGTTTCATAAATACTTAACAAGTGAGTCCAGCATGTGAACAAACGTTAAAGCTAGGCCTGTCCACAAACAAAAATATTATTAGGGGCTAGAATGTTGAAAGGAAGGGTTAATGATGTGAGGGGATTAGACGGTAGTACAATCATCAAAAAGATGAATGAATATAAACCATTTCCGTAAGTGTTGAAGTATCTTTAGGTACTTCAGTCTTCAGATAGTTGTTCCTTGGGATGAGTGGGTTTTTCTAAAATTAAAGTCAGTGTTATAAATCTGATGTGAGCTTTTGTTTCCTTTTTCTTAGATTTTTGCCTTTGTGACGACAGCCTGTTATGGTTGCAGTTTGGGTCTGGCGTTGAGAAGATGGCGACCGTGACACTCCTTAGAAACTAACAGTCTATGTGTTGGTTTCATTTGTCTACGTTACGTGTCTGATCAATTTGGATACCATTTTGTCCAAATGTAATAACATTCCAAAAGCAACTTGTTTATATAGAGAGAGCACCTAAGGACAAGTTTTGGTTCGTTGCATGGATGGAATTTTAATTTTATTATGATGATAAACAGAGAAGTGGCCTTTAATTTTACATCTGCCTCTTTCCTTTTTTAAGAAAATGTTCCCTTATATCCATAAAATATACCGATATTGTTCATGAAAAAGAGGTATATCTTTTGTTTGGTTATTGAGTCACCTAAACCTTAATTTTACTAGGTAACTAAAATTTCATAAAAAGAAAAAAGACACATTTTAAATAGTCTTCCCACTGAATTCTGTCTTTTTAGCGTAAAACAGAGATTGGCACCATTTTTCTGTAAAAGTCCAGATGGTAAATATTTTAGGCTTTGTGGACCATACAGTCTGTGTTGCAGCGACTCAGCCTTGCTGTTACTTTGTGAAAGCAGCCATAGACCACACATCAGTGAATGAGCGTGCCTGGGTTCCAACAAAACTTTATTCGCAAAAACAGGCAGCAAGCTGGATTTGGCCTGTGGGCTGTGAGTTACGGTTTGACGACCTCTGGTGTAAAACCTTAGTTCTATGTTATGTATTTTATTGAACTGATCCTGAAAGCTATAAAACTAGATAAGCCACATAATATTTAGCCTCATTATGCAATAATCATATCACCTTTGTGTTGATGGTCAAGTGCTTACCCTTGAGGTGGTGGATGGTTGCTCAAGCTAATTCAAGCAGAGTCTTGGATACAAGAAAAAGTAATTTATGAACTAAATCCTAGTGGCCTAATCTGACCAAGGGTCTCTTAACAACTGAGCAAACCTGTCATCCGGCATCCTTCCAATGAGATCCCCAGAGACCCTTCACCACTCCTGGAACTGGTCTCTTCTACTTCTGTCTTACTTTGGATTTATTTATGCTTCAGAATACAGCTGTTTGTCCCTGTGCATGAACATGGGAATATTCATGTGTGGATATGTGAAGCTCTACCAAATAGAACTCCCTGAAGAGTTAACTTTTTACTTCTCATTCTTTTACATTACTTTGGGTTAAATTTCAGTAGAATACTAAATATAACTTAAAGTTGTAACTTCTTATGTGTTTTAATAGTAGCCCCGACATTTATGTTGGTTTGCATTGGTGACAGATGTACAGAATCCATTTTAAAACAATAGCCATCATAAAAACTTGTCTCTGACTGAATTGCACAGAAAATATTTGAATGCATCTGTTAGAGGTATCCTGGTTGTGGCAAGTGCCAAAATGGCTTGAATGGGAAAACAGGTAAGAGTTAGATCCCACTCCCATGACACATCCAAGTGGGGTACTTTTGTCCTGCCCCAGGAGGGCTGCCTCCAGGAAAAGAAGGCTTTTGATAGTGCTAAACCTTCAGCCCTTTGCTTCTGTGGCTGAATCATCCGCTAAGAGTGCCATGTATAAGTTATGCTGGTAGATTTCATGGACATAGAACAGTCTTGAATGAGTAACATGATCAATGCTCAGTGATCAGATGCTATTTATATAATCATCTCCAAAAAGAAGAATCTTCTTAGAGTTTGGTTTGTGATATAAAGACGTGTTTCAATATGTGGCAAGAAGAAATCAGTCTTATGACCTGACTTCCATGTTTTTTCTAGCACCATACCACACACTTAAACCTGTATTATGAATTGTATATTACAAAGTCATAAATGTGCCATAAGGATATATAGTCCATGCAAGTTGGAATCGTTTAAAGTTAGTCTGCTAGATTTAGTTGTGAGATTTTATTTTTGTTTCCAAAGTATAACAGGTTCATGCTTGGTGGCATTAAATTAAATGATTTCATGAAATGGCTTTGGTGGCATTTTTGTAAATGGATTGCTTCTAGATCATTAAGAACCAAGCCTAAAACTCATCTGACTGTGAATAGTTATATTTGTAGATTAATCGTGTTCTGGGTTTGTGAATTGAGTGACAAAGCACTTGAACAAAAATTATGGTATTTGAGAATTCTTTATATATGCTGTAGAAATGAGAAAGTATTGGTTGGTTTTAAAATCTGGTAACTCCATGATGAAAAGAAATTTATTTTATAAGTGTTATGACTCTAATAAAGTATTCATTTGCTAATCTTTTTTGGTCATCTATTTTTTATACAATTCACTTTGAAACTCAGTTAAAGGTTTGATATAAACTTGACAGATTTGGAATTTCTGGACTCATACCATATAAAAATTCTGCTTTAAACCTTTCTATGTAAAAGATGGTCTCTCAGGAAATGTCAGTGAGCCTTTTTTCTTTGATGAAGGTCAAAGAGGTAAGTCTTTGGAAGTCATATTTTAAAGGAAGTTAAAATTATGCTCTATTTTATTTTAAAAGCATTTATATAGTGTTTAATATATGCCAGGCAGCGCTCTAAGCATTTTTTCAAATATCGCTCATCATCTTCATCATGACCACTCTGTGAAGTAGATAATATCTCCTCTTAAAGATGAGGGAACTGGGGCACCTGGGTGGCTCAGCCGGTTAAGTGTCCGACTCCTAATTTTGGTTCAGGCCATGATCTCACGGTTTGTGAGGTCTAGCCCCACATCGGGCTCTGCGCTGACAACGTGGAGCCTGCTTGAGATTCTCTGTCTCCGTCTCTCCGCCCCTCCTCTGCTCGTGCTCTCTTTCTCTCGAAATAAATACATTAACCTAAAAAAATTATAAAAAGAAAAAAGATGAGGGAACTAAAACAGACCTACGGAGCACCCAGGGTCATGTGCCTACCAAGAGGGAAAGCTGGCCTTTGGACCCTAGTAGTCTGGCTCCAAAGTTCAGGCACTCAATGGCTGTGCATCCCTCAGTTCAAGATTTTACGTATGAATATGTATATATATATATATATATATATATATATATGATGTGTAAAATATATGATACATATCATATATATATATGACCCTTTTTTCCCCTAAAGAAGTTTTTAGCAGAATGTTTAATTGTGTTAGATGCCATCTTTTAGAACTTTTTTTGTCATAACCAAGGACTCATGAGTTTAGCTGTAAGAATTTAGGCCAAACCTGCCATATAAGGGAAAAGTTAGGCAGCTTTGGTCTGCAAAGGTCCCCAGAGTGCTTGACTGCCTGTTTCTCTAGTCCGTTAATTCTGGCATGGACTGCGGGGCTTCGGTCTCCTCCGCTGCCTTACATCAACGTTGTCAGCTCCTCATTGACTCTTACATCAAGAGTCAGCTCTTTCCTGAATTGGCCTGGCTTCCTGATCGGCCCTGGAGCTGACATCGGGAGGGTCTCTAGTCTGAGACCCCCCATTCGATCTTCATACGTAAACTCTGAATTTGCACCTCTGCATTTGCCAGAATCTGGAATTCTGAGCCATCGTCACGAAGGTTCTAACATCATGATGCTTCAGGTTTGTCATTGAGTGAGCCAGTGTCAGGTGGCAATGGAATAGATTCATGGGGGACGGGTCCAGAGTTAAGGGGAGGTGATCATCTTTAGAACATGTATGTATTTTGTTTAATGCTCTGAAAGTTTGGCTTTTTGAGAGAGTACTAACTGTGCCCTGGGCAGTAGGTCAAGACTAGTTGCTTTCTCTGGAGCATTCTTCTCTCAATTAACTTGCATGACTTGTTCCCTCACCCTCTTTGGGTTTTTGCTCAATCATCACCCTGAGTCTCATACCGGCACACTCCTCCTCCATACCTGCATTTCTCCTAGGCATTTACAACATACCTTTAAATATGGCATAAATAGAAATAGCATATATTTTACGTACTTACTGTATTTGTCCTCTTCTCCACTAGGATGTAAGGCTTATGGAGAGGAGCCATCCCTGTTCACAGCTCTCTCTCCAGTGCCTAGAAAAGAGCATAGCAAAAAGCATGTACTCAGTAACTATATATTGAATTGGCAAATGGATGAATGTTGTAGCATTACCTACTTTTGTGTTCTAATCAATATACTCTATAAAAATTGATCTTGTTAGCACTTGCAAATTTCTGGTGTAAAATGACTAGGCATTTTTCACCTAGCTCTGGATGTATTTAGGGCAAATTCTACCCTATAGGTTCCCTAGTAATTAAATATATGTGTATTGTAAAACTGCCTTATAATCAGTCTTCTATAGCAGAGGAGCTGTGCATATAAAAATGAGGCATCCCATGTAAACTCATTAGGTCATTATTCCAGCCTTTTTCATGACAAAAGATGTCACTGTAGACTCAACTGACATAGTCTTCAAGGCATCATCAGAACTAAGAATTAATGGTCAAAGGCTGTCATTTTTCTATAATTACGATGGGAGTGGAGGGCTATGGCTAGTGGTGTTTGCTAAAAATTACAATAGTCACTGTTCTAAGACTAACAAGAGGTGGAGATATCTGTATATATCATGTGGCATTTTGATTTTTTATGTCTCCCAACTCCAAGTTTTATCCTCAGATATGCGTGAGAGGTATTCCAGATGAAGGATATTGTTGAATTTTCTATCTACAGTTTCCTGTATCATTCTAAGTACGTCTTCTGTCCTGAGGCAATGTATAGTTTTGCCAAAGCATCCGTGTACTGGGCCACATTGCCTTTTCATGAAATTGCGCATGTTATTGCTTATTAAATATGCCATCTTGCTGAATACCCTAAAACTTTTGTGTGGAAAATTTTTGGAATGTGAATAAACTCATTTGTTTATATACATAAGTATATAAAATATTTAACAGTGGTTAACTAAAGATTTGTTACTTTTGAACAATTTAACAGTTGTCTCAATTTTTGACCATGCATACCCTATTTATGTATATGAAATATGTGAATTAGTGTCAACTTATTTTAACTATTAGTAAAGCATTTTAATTTTAAATCATAAAATACAGTTAAAGTATTTTCTTGTATCATGCTGTGTAATAAATTTATCCTGAATATTTCTTAAGGCACATA